AATTCTCGACATTGCAATTGTAAAAGCTTTAAAATATGATTAGTTTTTTTTTTTTATTTTCGAAATAGGCTTGCGAATAATCACATAAACGCTTTCAATTTGCAAATTAAATTAATTTTAGTTTATCCTAATTAATTTGTTTGAATCCACTAGATCTTGTTCAATGGGTTTTTAAATAATGAATTAATCTGACCAAATTAATCAGAGATTTGGCTAAATTAATCCAGATTAAAAGTTAACGAATATTGTGAAATCCCAGATATTTTGGCATAAATTTGCAAAATATAACAATATTGGCAATATATAATTTGACAATTAGATTTAACAGTATTTACTACTACTAATTTCTACTATAATTTCTAATTAAAAATACCGGACGATTACTTAAATCAAACATTAGACACTTACATAATTAGTGGTAAAACGTTATATAGCAACCAATTCCTAAGTAAAATTGCAACAATTTCTAAAGGTAGAATAGAATAAAAGTTTTGTGAGTGGATGAAAATTTACTCAAAATTTTTAATTTTTATAGAATATTGTTGTCTAGATTCAAGAGTTCAATTATTTACACAAATAGATATATAAGACGATTTTCATTACATTTCCTTCATGTTTTTCTCTACTCCCTTACTTCCCTTAGAAAAGAAATTTTGTTTTACTCTTTAAATACTCGTACAAACAAGAATATACATTCATAAAATATTAATAAACAGAGAGTATACATAAATATAGTACACATTGGCATTGATAATTAAATATATTTTTTGTATGTTTGTTAATAAATTGTTAATTTTATACGTATATATGTATATACACTTATGAAAATTGTTATAAAATAGTTACATTTTGAATAGTATAGTAGTAGTATAATAATTATCTTAAAAGTTTTGTTTGAAAGGAAATTCATTGTGTATACGTGAGCATAGCTGTTATCGGTAGGTGACGTGTTTTCTTTATTTATAGAATTTAATTGTTTTTCTTTTCGGGTTTTTTTCTTTTTTGGTTTTTCTTCCTTTATTTTGTGGACTTTTAATTTGTGGTAGTATTGTATTTAATTTTTCATTATATTTTTTTCATATACTTATTTTTGGTTTTATGGTCTTGTTTTTGATATTACGAGTATTTTCTTTTTTGCTGTTTGTTTTAAATTACAATGTCGACATATGTTTAATTATTTTTAAAGCTGCTAAATTTATAGTTCCAAATTGTATATATATATATATAAGTATAAATATCATATTAAGAGGAAGAAAGACAAGAATTTGCTTTTAGATCAAAATGAAGCCATAAATTTGACATAAAATTGATATTAGTTGATTTATTTAGTCTTATATATAGAATGAAAATTCCAGAAATTCTAAATGAAATATAAGGAAATAGTATTGTGATAGTAGAACAAAAAATTTTCTAAGTCAAAATTGTTATTTTCGAGTAAATCAAGGTTAATGAATTTATTTTTCGTAAAAATTTGAAAAATTGAAACAGGTTTGAGGGAGTTAAAAGTATTTATCGCTTAGAAAGTGTCTTATCAAACATTATGAACGTTTTTTAAAATTTACAACAAATTTTCAGTATAATTATTAGACTTGAACTATTCTTGTCTGTATTGCTTATATAAAATAATCAGAAATTCAGGTAAAACAATCTGTAATAGTTAAAGATTTACAATAGCCTAAACAGACTGTTAAATGAACTGTTTGCTTAGTATTAAATTTTTTGAAAAGTATTTGATCTCGTTAACTTGACCTGCCAAAATTTTGAAAAAGAAAAATTATTATTAACGATGCTATACCAGATTTTCTTTCTAAGTTTAGTCTAATCTAATGTAGACCGACTTATGTAAACACTTATTAAATATTCAATATAAAATGGTTTAATTCTACTAAATTCACTTTAAAATCTTATTAAATTTCGTCATAGTTTGCTTTAGAATTGATTTTTCGCATTCTATTATTAATATTCCATATAAATTGTTTGATACTCGGGTCTCCTTCTCATTCAATTATTTCAATTTAATAATTATATTTTTATGGTTGAAATGGAAATATTTTTTTGATACTCAATATACAGAGATACGCTTAAATGTTTTATTATTTGATAACGTACTAAACCACGCATATACTAAATGAATTACTATTTATGTATTACGAGTACCATACATACGTATAATATGTAAATACTCATAAAAGTATATTATCATAATAATCACACATTTTCTATATGTCTTTCATAAATTCATATTAAAAAGTTATAATTTACTGAATTTCTAGCATAAATTGTTGATATTTCAAAAATTCTGCAATCCTTTAATCCATGCTATATAAAATTTTCAAAAGAGATACAATTTTATAGATACCTATAACGTTGGTGTATACATACGAGTATAATAGAAATTTTTAAATAAGCATATACACCTACATCTTTAGAAATTTTCGAACAATAGTATTTAGTATGGTATGCTTTATAATCAGGTAATTTAAGAATTTTATATACGACGAGTAAAACATGTATGTGTGTTTTATTATTCCCATATATTTTAACAATTCCATATATAAAAACGGTATGCAGCCAAAATGTAATACAATTTTTATTATGTACATATATGTATATCGTAAATTAAATGGGTTTCATAAAATTACATAATATTTGCTTTATTCGCGTTTATTTGCCTATATTCATTTATACATTGCGGTTTAAATTTTCTGCATACCTTTAAGTATGTAATTATAGGTTAATATAAACAAAATAATATGCTACAAGCGAAAATATTTTATTTATTTATTATTAAAATACATATATATACTTTAATTGTTAGTATATACATAATTAAATCTATATTGTGAAGAATGAATTACGTAAAAATGAAAAAAATCACGTATAGAAATCGATATTAATTTTTGAAAGTACAAAAGAAATAATAATTGAATTTTTCATGTTGGTTATTTTATAAAAAAAAATTTGCAAAACACCTACATTTATTTGAAGTAGCCGAATTCGAAATTTTGAAATTTCTTCTTTGCACTTTAATTGGCGTTATGTCCCAGTGGACTCACAATGTGTTTTTAAACCCTTGTTTCTTTTTATTTCATTATAGTTAAGTTTTTGATTTTTTCAGTACTTTCCTAATTATTTTCAAAGTTTGTTGAGCAGGAAGTCTGTTGTCCGAATTTAAGGCGAAACAACTTTATTTTTAATTTTATTTTTGAATGTGCGTTCAGTAGACCCACTGCATGCGTATATACGTACTTTTTTTCAAATATTTTTTTTGCTCTTATACCAAGGCCAAGTCAGTTAATGGCAAGTACATTTGCAAAATTAAATGTTTTCAAAGTTGTGGAATAAAATTAAGCAGACTAACCAGAATTAAATTAAAATTAAAACTAACCAGAACATAAAATATCCCGCATACATAGGATTATATCAACAAACCTTTCCTTTTTTCTCTTGTCTTTTTTCGGCTCATTTAAAGAATTAGGTTTTTTTTGTGCTGATTTTTGCCATTTGTCAAGGAATAAGTTCATAAGTTGAATAAGCGACTTTAAGGAAATAATGGTAAAAAATATCAAATTTTATGATTCTATAAAGTTTAAGATTGTGTGGGTCCAACTGACTCATGGTATCGTTTACCTATATGAAATTTTTGACAACAATTAAGAGTTAAAAATATTTTTATTCTCCAAAATTATCAATAATTTAATTGCGTATTTGATAAGCGGTTGTACAGGTACTGGCAATAATAAGAAATTTCGTTTAACTAAACTGCACAAATATTGCAATTTTCATATTTGAAGAAATTTTTAAATAAATTACCAAAAAATATTTGAATACAATTTCAAATTCTAACAATTTTTCATATAAAGAACGTCCCATACAGACAATATTTCTAATTCTGTTAATTTTTCGTGCAAGAAACGTTGCAGACAGACAAAATTCCCAAATTTTAATAACTTTCCATATTACAAAACCTATTTCAAATATATTATATAAAAAGCTTTTCAGGGGCACACAGACATATAAAAATTTGAATAACGTACAAAAATTAATTTGTTTTACATGTCGTTTTTGTCCAAATAATTCCAAATAATATCAGCTTCCGAAAAAAAAACAAAAATTCATAATAAAAACGGAGGACGTTTAAATTCAAGATCAAAAAAATTTTAGGTCAGATTTCAAACATTGATTATATTAATTGTGGATTTCAAGAGAATTTATTAGACCAAAGAAAATAGTTCACCCCAGGCAAACTCAGCCTTTTACGACTTGTTGTAGCCGTCACGCCCTGCCTATAATATCACCGTTCTAAGTATACAGCGGGAAATAACTCTATAGCGAAATTGGAAAGAAATTCCCGAATCCTAAGGATATTATTGTATAAATCATATCGTTCGTGCCATTTTCACCCTCTCTTAATAAGAAATCTTGCTGTTGTCAGTATATTTATTGTTCGAAATGCTTTTGCTTTTTATTTTCATTATAATATTTTAGTTAATTGTTTCAAAATTTGTATTATTCATTTTATACTCATAATATTACATTGTATAGTAAGTAAGGGTGGATTAATGGTAATGAATATAAGAATTTTTCTAATCCATTCTTCTTTTCTCCCTTAATTTCAGTATACATATTTTATATATATACAGAATTAAGAGCATAAATATAAAAGTGAAATTTATTTTATGTTAATTAGAGATCATTTATCATTTTGTTGGTTAAATTTGATGAGAATCGAATGGAAAAGTTTCATTATATAATAGTTTGTTATTGAATAACAAAATGACAGTTGTTTTTTGTTGTCATGTTTTTGTGTTTACATTATAATTAATGATGAATAAATTTTTATATTAAGGAACCATGTATAAAATTTACAAGAAATGAGATTGAAAATTCCTTTATAGAACAATTTAATTGAAATATTTAAATTTTCTTAAATTTAAGATTATTATATAGTGTATGGGTCGTCGGACATATTTGTAATAAAAATTATGAAACTCACTTACCTGTAAAATACTAGTCTTTCCAACACCTGAGGCCCCCAAAAATGCTGCTTTAAGGGGGCCCTGTATCCATGGAGGCTCACCAGAACCCTCCAGAGTGATCCGCTATGCTGTAACGCACTTATTTTGATAATGAATTTCCATATTAAATGATATTTTTGTCGTTTTTCCTGATGTTGATGCTGCTGTTGTTCCTGTTTTTGTTGGTGTTGTCGTTGTTTGATTTGTAAATGGTTTTGTTTCTGTTTCAAATATTTTTGTTGTTGTATTTTCTTTTCCTGATGATTTAATTGATTGTAATATAGCGATTTTTGTTTTTGTGTTATCTGATGATGACGATGAAGATGATGATGATATAATATAATTATTTGCTTTTCTTGCTGTTGATATTGATTTTTTGTTATTATTAATTGTTGTTGTTGTTGTTGTTGATATTGTTGATAATTTTTCTTTTTGATTATAATAATTATTATAATATAAAATATTATTATTGTTATTATTAATAATTTTTGTTTTATTCCCAGATGTTGTAATCGATGCAATTGTTGTAGTTTTAATTCCTTTTGATGCTGTTGATGCTGTTGTTGTTGCTGTTGAAATTGATGTTTTTGCTGATGTTGTTGTTGCTGATGTTGTTGTTGTTTTTTTAATTTGTTTTTTATTATTATTGCTACTATCAACAACATAGTCAGTATTTGAAAAATTATTATTTATTAATAGGCTTTTTTTTGAATTTGTTGGTGATATTGCATTCCACATATTATAATTATTATTATAAAATATAATATTTTTGGAGATAATTTCTATTGGGAATATTGAAAGTAAAAAATAAAATAAATATAAAAATATTAAAATTAAATTTCAATATTTCAATTTAATAAGAAAATATTACTCGATAAAAAAAATTTTTTATGTTTTATTTTTGGTCTAAAAATATAAAATGAAAAATAATACAATTGAAAAAATATTAAAAAGAGGCGAAAATGATTTTGTGTACGTGATTAATTGGCAAAAAGGCAACAATATGGTTGAATGACATTTAACGGGTACTATAACGGTTTCTTTATTCAATATTTTTATTCCATTTTCTAACTCACAACATCACATAAAACCAGAGGAGAAAAAAACGGAAAATTTATTATGGCAATATAACTGTAAAATATTGTTTTTTTTTTCGTTTATGTTTCTCTTATTTTTCTTCTGCTCTTATGCTCTTGTGCTTTAATGACGTTATATTATTTCGTTTCAATTATTTTCCATTCTTTTTTTTTGCTTTTTTTTTTAAATTTGTCTCTTAATTTGTTCAATTTCCTTTTTATTTTTCAATATTATTTAGGTTATTTTTTTTTGTTCCCCTTTTATCATTTTCTTTTCGATTTCGATTACTTTTGAATACACAACATTAAAAATAATGATAAAAATGAACTACTGAAACGATGAATATGATGGCAATGAGGAAAACGGTATTGTTAGGGGTGGTAAGATAGCAATTATTATTATTGTGTTATATATTATTTGCATTAAATTTTATTTCACTCCTATAACCCAAAACGCTCTCATCTTCCTGTTTTTTTTTCTTTTTACTCTTTTTTGATTTATTTATATTTTCGTCTTCAAATTCGTCTTCCTCCCTCTCTCTCTCTCTCTTTCTGTGCTGTCAAATTCAAAATTTCATTATTATTTCTGTTATTCTAATTGTGTTTACTGTTAGGATATAATATACATTATACATATATATAGGTATATTTATATATATACTATATTATTGAATGGTATTAATATTATGGAATACATATGTATGTGCTCATGAATATAATTCAAAACAAAAATTGAGTTGAAGTTGAATAAAAATTGATAAGACTGACAATACAAGAACAGAAATAAATATAAAATAAAAATAAAAAAAATAAAATGAGAAAAGTGTGAATTGATGTGCAATAAAATATATGAAAGAGAGAGAAGAGGAAAGAACAGTTCAGAATTATAAAACTTTTCTGTCATAAAACTTCAATGGAAATGTTAATTGCTTTCAAAAACAACAAAAAAAAAAAAAATAGAATGAAAATTTTTCTTACTTTTAAAACAAAAAAAAATCATCAACAACAATAAAAAAGTAAGAGAATCGAAAAGAAAAATTAAATAAAATAAACTCGGTTCAAACAGGGTAATGTTTCGTAGAGGAGCACTTTTGTCTTGAATAAATGCAAAAATTTTATTATAAAATAATAATTGGTTATTCAGACTACTTTCATTAATATACCAATATAAGTAAAATTATTGCATACATTTAGGCGTAATGATTAAATTCCACGATTAAGTTTGAAATTTCGGAAATATAACAAGTTGACATTTCAAAATTGATAAATATCGAGAGGCGGTAATTTTGGGATGGAGTTGGGAAAAAGCTTCTTCTAACGAAGTAAATTATTTGTTAATTTCTAAAAAATGCTGCTAAAATTTCTGGCAAATTCCGGTTAACATTTAGAGATAAAATGACACCAAAAATTTAAAACAAAACTGACGGACAAATTAAAATTAATGTACACTTCCATCTGTTTTCAATATTTTTTTTTGGAAATAGTGCTAAAAAAATACAAAAATTTTCATAAGTATGTAATTCTGTACTCTTTTCTGTAAGAGGAAAATATCAAAAAGATATTCGACTCTGTCTGTATTGAAGAAAGGAAATTGAAATTTTTTAAAGAAAAAAAGTTTAATTAAAAATAAAATGTTATTTAAATTTATTGTTAAGAACTTGTTTCGTCAAATATTATTGGTACCCGAAACAAGCTCTTAAAGTTACATAATCTTAAAACCGGTTGCGAAGGCTAGATATAAATTGATTTTGCAGTGTAATTACACATTCACATGGCTTTAGAGCTAGTTTGAGAATTTTATAACTCACATTTTTTTATTAGACTTGTAAAATTAAGTAAATTTCCCTTAGATTTAATATTTAAATTAAAATTCGGACAAAGTATAAAAATTCAGGAACTCGAAAAAAAAATTAGAAAAACCAAATTAAAAACCTTAAAACAAAATTTCAAAATTTTTAAAGATTTAGAGTTTCATCTTTTGATAATTGATAATTTTTTTTATTATTTAATTATTTTAGGAATATTCAATTGTTTTCAATTTTTAAGTTTTTTAAAAATTAATGGATGTTTATTATTTTTTCAACTATCATAATGTAATTATGATGTTCTTTGGTTGTTCTGTAATATTTGAAAGCTGAAATGAAATAAATAGAAAAGGATTGAATTAATAATTAATTTGATTAAAAAAATTTAATTTTTTTTTAATTTTAAAATTGCATATATTTAGGGGCAATATTTATAAATTGTTTTTAAAAAATTTAATGAATTTAAATATTTATATTTGTATAAATAACAAATTGTGGTATATTATTCGATTTGATCATTAGATTTTTTGGGAAAAAATGATGTTATATAAGAACTAACAGTTTAAGATGGTTCAGACCTGTAGCTTAAGGTATTTTTCAATTAACTTTAGGTAAATATCCCATAACAAAATAAAAAATTCTGTACTAAAATTTCTAATCAATAAGTCCAAAATCACCTCTTCTTTCTTATATTTCTCTTAATTTTTGGAACAAATTTTAAGGCTAGTATAAAATTCAAAAAATTTAGCATAAATATTGTTATTATAGATTAATTAATTTACTACTCAAAGATATTTGCTAGTGATTCATTGTCCTAACACTTTAAAATTTATATTAATAATTTATATTAAAAATATAAAAGCGTGAAATTATTTTATTAACGCTTTAACGCTTTTATTATACTTGTATATGTGGATTATGTAGCAAAGGTATAAAGGGTAATGCAAACAATATTTAATGAACCGTGCGGTAATATTTACCTAATAGTGAAATATTAGTTACTATTTTCAAGGCAACAATATTAAATTATTATTAATGTCATTGAATAATACATTTCATAGATGGATTGATGTGGCTAAGACGACCATTGAAGTCGGTGCCCAGAATTTCACATTCCAGGAAATATGTAGGACCCCAGGAAGCCAGAAGAGAACTTATTTCGTTGAGTCATACAAAATTGATTCTGCTGTTGGAGTAGTCGGTATACATTGTCTTACCTTTGTTCATCTGAAAACGATATACACGATGGAGAGTGAGCTTTATCGTCTGTGCTTGGAAGAGGATGAGACAGTAAAGCATCCCATATGGTAAATATTTTATTTAAATATAAGGTACTAATTTTGTATAACATATTCAATTAATACTTTCAAACAAAAATTTAAATCCATACATGATTTTTTTTTATATTTTTCACTTTTCTATTCTTAAAAAGCAAAATAAATTTCATTTTTTTGCCAAAAAAAAAACATTTATTTTTAAGTGACTTTTATACACTTTTACAATATAACAATATAAAAATAATGAAATGGTTTCACTTATTTTTCATTTTTATTAGATTTTGTATATAAGAAGTAATCAAATTAAATTACAAATATTATTTTATACAATAAAATAAAATATCCTATCATCAATTTTGAAAAAAGAAAGAAAAAATCATTCCCCAAATTCTTCTGGAACAAACATATGACATAAATATTTATTAGATACACTTACATTTCTTACATAACATTAACATTACAAGAATAATAATGATAATAGCATTTGTAATATCAAATAATAAACAAATCATATAAGGAAAATATAAAAAGAAAAACCAAATTTTGGAATATGTTCTTGATAATTTTTGAAAAAATAAAACACTTACTTCGTACATACATGTATACAATTCACTAGAATAATTTGATTTCGAATATTAAAAATAGCCACATCTGAGTATAACATTTTCTTCTATAGATTTAATATCAAAAAGAAATTACACAAAAATGTTGGCATTTTCAAAAATGAAATTGTTTCGTCTTCTTAAATTTTCTTTTTTTAATAAAATGCATTTGAAATTGGTACAAAAAGGAAAAATTTAACATTGTATAACATTTTATAAATAAACCTTGTATTGTAATTTTAAAAACCAAAAAAAAATAAGAGACCCTAATGTATTAAAAGGCAGTCTGCCAACATGCCAAAATGTATTATTTGGAAGCTCAAATAGTAACGAATACATTTAAAGCATAAATTGAATCTGGTAGAAATTTTTCCAAAAAATAAAAAGAAAAATTTTAGTAATATTTATCTTGGAATGACGGTAGCAGCTAGCATAAATAATATGCAAAAATACCAAGATTAAAATGTCTTCATAAAGCCAAGCAAAAAATAAAGAAAAACGAGAAGAATCTCAAAAAAAAATGTAAAAAACAAATATAAAACAATTTGAAATAAGAGCAATTTTGTCCTCAATGTCCTTTGTATTTTTTGCATTATTTTTTTCTGTTTTCCTTCACGAAATAAGAAAAACAACAAAAAAACAAATAGAAAAACCGCAAAAAAACCTGTTCCAAAATAATAAAATCTTTTTTATTTGTATATTCCGTTGGTTTCTTCGCTTTTTATTTTGCTCCTGTTTTCATTCTGTTCTTAAATACGAGTACAAAAAAAAAAAATAGTGCCAACAAACTGAAATGATAAACGAATCTCACTTTATATTGTTACATAAATAAAAAATACCGTGGAAAAATTCTCATAAAAACTTATTAAAGTTTTTCCTTTAAGTTTTTCCCTTCATCTTTTTCTTATTTTTACCTCGATTGCAATCTTTCTCTTCCGTTTCTTTAATGTTTTACTTTTAACTTTAGAATTTATTTTTATCTTCATATAAAAACCTTAAAAAATATTTTTTAAAAACAAAAT